AAGGCCAGCCTGACCCAGAGTGAGACCCCCGTCTCTAAAAACAGCTGGGTGTTGTGGTGGGCACCTGTAATCACAGCTACTTAGGAGACTGAGACAAGAGGACTGCTTGAGCCCAAGAGTCTACTCGGGGCAACAAAGTGAGACTCTATCTCAAAAAAAAAAAAAAAAAGTTCTTCAATAGTTATAATTACTTTACTTAGGACTGATTGAGCCTAGTTAGATCATGTGCCCACCATGAAACTAATATGAATCATCAGGAACACTTCAAGTGCTGCTAACTTATTTATTTCCAAATATTAAAGGGAGTACAAATGTTTTGGTTATATAGATTGTTTTAAAATGCTTAAGTCACAGCTGTAATTGTGCCCATCACCGAAATAGTGCTCATCGTGTGCATTAGGTTCCTTCCCGTCCCCCACTTGATTTCCACTCCACTGAGTTTTACTTCCCTCTGAACACGTGTACTCATCAGTTGGTTCCAATTTAATAGTGAGCATATCTATTCTTTTTTTTTGAGACAGAGTCTCACTCTGCTGCCCAAGCTAGAACGCCATGGCGTCAGTCTAACAACCTCAAACTCTTCAGTTCGAGTGATCCTCCTGCCTCGGCCTCCCAAGTAGCTGAGGCCACTGGTGCCTGCCACTATGCCTGGCTAATTTTTCTATTTAGTAGAGATGGGGTCTCACTTTTGCTCAGGCTGGCCTTAAACTCCTGAACTCAAGTACTCTTCCAACCTTAGCCTAACAGAGTGCTTGTTTTTCCATTCTTTAGATACCTCCCTTAGGATAATGGTCTCCAATTCCATCCAAGTTGCTGTAAAAGGCATTAATTCATCCTTTTTATGTTCAGTAGTACTCCATGGTATACATCCGCATCTTACTAATCCACTCATGAATTGATGGGCACCTGGGTTGCTTTCACATCTTTACAACAGTGCATAATATTACAATAAACATTCAAGTGCAGGTGTGTTTTTGATAAAAAGACTTCCTTTGGGTAGAAACCCAGTAGTGGGATTGCTGGATCAAATGATAGGTCCACTTTTAGTTCTTTGAGGAATCACCATACTGTTTTCCATAGAGGTTGTACTAACATGCAATCCCATCAACAGTATGTAAGTGTTCTTTTCTGCATCCATACCAGCATCTATTGTTTTTGGACTTTTTTTTTTTTTTGAGACAGTCTCACTATGTCACCCTTGGTAGAGTGC